TAACTGTGTCACAGCTGTACAAAATAATTCATGTATACCTCCCATTCCCCATTACAATGTGTTCAACTGCAGACCTGTACCATTTTGGAAAATGAAAGAATTACAGCATTTTCACAAATCCAGCACCAGATTCCAGTCAGTCTTTGAAATAATGTCTATGAACCCGAGAAGTGTGCAAAAGCAAATGCAAGTGTATGGAAAAGAAGAGCTGAGATATTGTACAAAACTTGCAGCTCAGCGTTGATATTTTATTGTTTTTCCCCCAGATTGTGCTTGGCTTTGTGTCGTTCTTCACAGTCAGTCTTGGCGGTGCTGCTATTGGTATCATAGTGGGCCTAGTAACAGCATTCCTGACTAAGTTTACCAAGCATGTCAGAGGTACAATGTAGGTCCTGTGAAAGAAAATTAAAGCCAATTTATGGTACTAATTATTAAGTATTTCTGGAAATGAAACCAATGATATTCTTCAAGAGTATCGGCACTGCTGCTAACAAGCTTCAGTTGTAGCGGTGGGAGCAAAACCCAGAGGAATATTCTGGGCAAAGCATGTGGACCAAGGCTGGAATTGAACCCAGGTGTACTGAACATCTGGTGCACTGTGCTGATGAACAGTACTCTTGAATATATTCTAGTAGTAAGCAGTGAGAACGATTGACAACTTGTTAGAAATAAGTACATTACTGGAATGTAGATAAACTACATGTAGACACTGGTACAATCTGACAATGAAACTATCTAATATCATTATGCATAACCGCATAGACCTTTTTTACTGTGCTTCCCGGATCTTCATAAACCCTCTACTGTAGAGGAAGCTCATGGAACATTTTGGCTTCACCTGTCACAAGAGCCCAGTAGATTTTGATGGATCTTGGGGATAAGGGTTACAATAGCACAAGCATTAGACACTCAACCAGAGACACCAACAGGGACTGTACTTTGCTAGTGTTTATACTAACATAAGATATTCACAAGTTTCCTTTTTGATTAACACAATGTGCATTATATTACCTACAGCATAAACTGTTTCGCCTGCCCCAAATTTAGGAATGATTGAAAAAAGTTGACTCTTCAAACTGTCTTGAATTTCTGCTTGTAGTGGTTGAGCCTCTGGCTATACTTGGCATGGCATATCTCTCCTATCTCCTGGCTGAACTCTTCCACTTCTCAGGAATTATCAGGTAAAGTATGACCCAGTATACAGCCAACCTAGGCTTGTAGTCAAACAGTTGCTTGTGGAGTTGTTATTGAGTTGTATTGACACAGGAGGTATGCCCTGAGGTGAAGCAACAAAGGAATGAAGTTTGTCATCTCACACAATGTGGTGAGCCTGCTTTGTGTATGCATTTTCTGCGTTGTTTGTGGTGACGTGTCACTGTTAATGTGCAGAGGCATATGGCAAAAATATCAATTGATACCTGTACATACTCGATTGTACCGTGAAGTGATCATTTACAATTTGATCCTTGCTAACGAATTTGTACCCGTAAGATGTTTTAGGAGTTTTTTTGGCAAATTAATGAACAGAATTGTCACAGTCGATAACCGGTAGGTTACTAGTTTTTATGGTCTTGTAGCAACATGCAGCTGGCAATGCATTATCGCTTTGGACAATATGTGAGTGTTCTGCTCCTAACAAATAAAATTGAAACATGAAATTTGTGCATTTCCAGCTGCTGTTGTATAAAATTATAGGACACAGTTTAAAAAAGATGATTTGTGAACATGTGGTTGTCCTTTGTACTTGCACTTGTACATGTTGACATCAATCCCCTGTCAGTCCAGTTGCAGAAATTTATGTAAAATACAACAGTTGGTGCAAATTGCTTATTACAACGACGTGATCTTAAACGTTATCTGAATCCCTCTCAGGTAGGATCCAACTTGTATGAAAATAGAGAAGGGTTGTGGAACTGAACACAATCCAACATGGATGCATTTGATTCTGTTCATTTCCAATTTGTACATGGACGTGCATTTTTTTTTTTTGCTCTCAGCATCATTTGTTGTGGCCTGGCTCAAGTCCAGTATGCCTTTGATAACATCTCCAGGAAGTCTAGCACCACCGTGACCTACTTCACCAAGATGCTGTCGTGAGTACACTCATCATCACTCAGGCTCTCCTACGCCATGCCAATATTGATAGTGCATGCGTAAACAGTGCATTTTGCTTCCCCAAGGATGGTATTGTGTGAAGAGTTATGTTATTTAGTCTGAAAATGACAAATGATGATATTGATCAAATATGGACAGTTGATTGTTTAGTTCATAAACACCCATCCAATATACTCACCGAGAATTGGTGTATTTTAAACTGTATTTTGTTGCATAAGAATTCAGAAGTGTTTTCAGCTGTGTATTTTTCAACTGCGCAAAATTTAATTGTGATATTTATTGGTGTGAGTGTTATGAAACCATTTCTCTGCATTATGAATTGTGAAGTGTAACAGTTACTGAGGTCACTTCCAAACAAAAGAAAAAAGAACTTTTTTTGACGACTGGATTTCTTCTCCCCCTCCCAAAGTATTATCCCTTGTACTTTTTCAGGACTACCACAGAGTCACTGATCTTTCTTCAGCTTGGCCAGACGCTCTGGGCAGAGAGCCATCAGTGGAATACAGGCTTTGTTATCTTTACTTTGCTGTTCATCTTTGTCTACAGAGCCTTTGGTAAGTGCATGACTGATTGATTGATGTGAGTGTAATGTCATTCCAACAGGAAGATTCACTGTCCTTGCCTAGTAGTGAAGCCTTAGGATTATCTTTGTATTAGATACTAGAAGCCATTCAAAGAATGTCTGATTATCCGTGAATGCAAAATTTGTTTGACCCGAAGAATGAGTGAATTAAACTCAGGAAGATGGACATTGTTGTCAACGAGACAACAGCTGTCAGTTGTGACCTCATTGTGTGAAGCAAACTGTACCTTTCTCGGGCAAATCTTATATTAAAGAGTGTTTTTAGTTGGTTATTGGCTCCCTGAACATGTTTCTTTACAATAGCACTTACCACAGAGGCACAGAATACTGTGATGTGTTCCCTTTCCTCATTAAAAAGTGACAATTTTACAGTTTGGTTCTTCACTGGTTACAGGGCAAGTATATGCAACCAGCTGCGATGCTTGATGAATGGCCTGTATGTGCCATGGTTTTCTCATTGGTACAAGTCTGATTTGCTGAAGAAACCATTTGTATATGCTCACTAGTTGCTTGCATTTTGCAAGTCAACAGGCCATGACGTTGAGCATAATTACTCATTGTTATCGACATGCAGGCTGTAGGTGGTCTAGTGTGAATCATTTTCTTGAGCAACGCGAGCCCGTTTCTACTGTTTGGTGAAACTTTATGTTTCAGGCTTTGAAGCTGCCCTTTGAAGCTACCTGGAAGGTAACTTAAGTTACCTTCCAGGTCTTTTCTAGTATTTAAGGTTCAGCTTGATACCTAGTAGCTTTGAATTTCAAATTTCTGAATTTCCTTTTAGATTTGAACCAATGTTACCGCTGCCTGTTTCTAACGTTGTATCTCTATTTTGCCAGGAGTGGTTGTGATTACATTCATCGTCAACAAATTCCGCATCACCAAGATCAACAAGGAGGAACAGTTTATTATGGTAACTATCTGATCTCACAGTTACTGATTTAGGCACAGGGGGTTTGAGAAAAAGGTCAGCATTCTACTGACACTTCAGTGTGTGTTTATCATACATGTGCATTATATCTCATTATGTTTGATAAAGAAAATTATAATTATTGTTTTTCTGATGTAGGATTTTTTAATCTGTTGAGATTTTGAGTGAATTGGAAAAAAACCACAGCATGCAAAGAATGTCATTTCGTTGATCTTTTGTTCAAAGTATGATAACAAGATTGAAGCCTCAGATTTCACCAAACTAGCATGTCACAGACATTGTCTCCAGAATGAACCCTAGGAATGGTACACACAACAACACATGACAGTGGAATGCTTTCACTGGCTCTGAACTTAATAGCCCTTTGTACTAATATCATGCCTTGCAGAGCTATGGTGGTCTACGTGGGGCTGTAGCCTTCTCTCTAGTCGCTACTCTGAGAGTTGAAGATGTTCCCATTCGTAATGCCTTAGTCACTACCACACTGGTTGTTATTCTGGTGACCGTGTTTCTGCAGGTATGTGAAAGTGCTGCAGCTTGACTTCAACTCAGTGACTTTGACCAGAAATGCACTTTTGGATGTACCTGTACTTACATGTGCTGTTAATAAATACATATTTTTGAAATATACCGTAAGCCACAGCTAATATGTTGATTGCTACATTGAAAAATGTCCCTGCGGCTTATACTCCGAGCGGCTTACACGGCAACATTTGAAGAATGAAATCAGTCACTAAATAGACTTTAAATGCACCATAAGTACCGTTCACACCTCACAAATCACGTGGTGCATCTGTTCATTTTTGTCTTTCATGGTTATGTAATCCATGTTGTTTTTTTTTTTCACTGGTCATTTGGGAACTGTAAAAAAAAAAGGAAAAAAAGAACTGTGCATGGCCCACCCATTACTCAGGAAAGTTAAGGTTTAATAGCAATACTCGTTCGCACACTGCTTACACTTGAAGATTGTGTACCCAAAAGTGGCATGAACCCTAAGGTTGGGCATTTCAAATATTTGCCTCTAACGTTAGTGTATTATTGGAATGACATTCAATTCCACAAAATGTGAAATTTAATCAAACTCCAAATATTCTGATTCATAAATGCTGATTTGGTTTACCCGCTTCAAAGTTCCGATGGAAGTTGTTTTCGTCTGATTTTCCTATGTTTTCTGAAGTGCAAAATTAACTCTTTTAAAATGCATCCCAAAATATTTTGTTTACAATTTTTAATTAGGTATGAGTGGAGGTAATAATGATTTACTAGAGTTTTTTAATGTTAAAGAACTTCTGAAATGCTTTTGTGTGATTTTCTGAGATATTTTCAAGGGTGCCAGGTCACTCAGGTTAGTCAGCTGATTTCTTGCCCAATTGGACAAAATTTCATGGCACTGGAGTTATTCACAAAGGTTCAAAAGCCTCTATCATGAAGGCATTAGTGTCAGTATTTAACCAAGTGGATTTGAAGTTTTTCAACAAAGAGGTTTGGCAGCACTATACAGTGTGAAGAAAGTCAAGTTGGAATTGCGCCATGTAATACTCTACGTGTACTAGTGCTTCAGCAGTGCAGCACGTGTAGTGACTCACTTGACACTGCTTATACAGTGGTGCTGCTAATATGCCAACTTCAAATTTTAATTTGCAGATTTTTGCGTGGTGTGGCTTATATTCCACATGGCCTACATGTATATTCCGAAAATTACAGCACTTATTATACATTGTGTAATCTTTAGACCCTCTTTGTGAATTCATCAGAGGTTACATACATGTATCTGCAATACATATTTCCCTGGATGGGACTTGCTCCACAGATGTCTAAATAGGCAAAATCTCAAAAATTAAATTTTGCACCAAAAATGACTACGGCACATGTGTTTTGTCGGACATGTAAATGGCCCAAATTGCAATCAGTGAAAGCCTTCAGCTTTCAACTTTTGTCATTTTGAATGTAAATGATTTAGCAATCAATTTTAAGTTCATTTAGCACAGGAAACAGACCAGACTACAGTATAAGTGTTTTACTTGCTTCAAGGATAAAAAAAGTGGCTTTTTTCAATATTGTCTACACTAACGATGCATTTTATAATCTTAAAATGGTAACGTGATATTATGGAGCACCGGTTTGGTCTAAAACTTGCTTCTCTGGATGCTGCTTGATATATAGATATTGGAACTAGGAACATCTCAGAAATTATATTTTTGATCAGAAGTGAGAGTTTTAGGCCACAATGACCCTAAACACATTTTACCCAATGATTTTTTAAGTCCCACGTCATACCTCATATAAATGTAGACAATTTTAAGCTTTCTAGTGACATGCTTGTATGACATACCGGTAGGTGTGTGGGATGGGTCCATTGAACTCTTTAAATACAATACAGGTGCCTTTTCAGTGGTCGGCCGCTCTCCTGTGCCTGCTTTTCTTGCTTCTGTTTGATGGGCATTACATGCATATAAGTTGGAATCGTAGTATTATTGAAGAGCTTAGTAAAAGACCCAACTGGAGTTGGACAGTGAAATGCTGAGATGAATGTTGAGACACTGTGTGTTGCAAACAGACCCACCCCACCTTTCTATCTCCACTCAGAGAGTTCAACAGATTTGCTGTTAACATGTTGTCTTTTACTTGCCAACATTGCTCAGGGCATTACCATCAAGCCTCTGGTCAGACTGTTTAGGATCAAGCGAACTATAGGGGAGGAACCCACTGTCTCCGTCGTAATCCATCAGACTGTAAGTCTCACCTCTGATTGATCCATTTAGCTCTGCTTAACTGGAATAAATGCTGAGAAAAAAAGTTTAGAGGTAGTTCAACAATTTTCTGATTTTTTTTTTACTTGCAGGTCATTGACTATGTGATGGCAGGCATTGAAGAGGTCATAGGCCACAAAGGTCATAACTATTTCCGGGTAAATATAAACCTTGCCCCGGCCACGTTTGCTTGGAACCCTCCTCAATTATCTAAAATCCACCCCTATACACCTGTTAGCATACCGCACTGCAAAATAACGCTGAATGGGCTGTGCGTCTCCTGTCTTACAAATCCTATCCCGTTTGATGGAGTCTGAAGGGAGAGAAGTTAAATGGAAGATTTTTGGGAGGTAGTGAAGTTAATTATCTCCACTTCCACAAGCGGTGCTTGAAAACAAAAAGTTTTGCAGTTTAATTCTTTTAACAATACTTAATATATGTGTTGCTTTAGATGTGGTTAGAAAGTCTGGATAATCGTTTCATGAAGAAATACCTGCAGCGTGAGCCCACATCCTGGGAAGATGAAGTCATGAAAACATTTGAAAAGATCACCAACCAGTGAGTCTTTCATTGATTATAATTAATATTGATAGTGCATTGACATCGATGGTTCAATTTGTAGTTGAGGGTAAAGTCTCCTAAGGATGACATTTACACCAAACTAAGATTTTCCAGAATTTCGGATTGAGAGTAAAAATTGTTGTCACTGGATGCATAAAATTAATATTATTTGCCGTACTCCAGATAAATAAATAGTTTGACTGATTTGGTTTGTTTGTTTTTGATTGGAAAACACGAAACCGGACTCAAAAGGAAACAATAGTGTTCGGAAGGGTTCCTGTGGCCTAAATGCTGTGATTGACTTTTAAAAATTTACTTCCAGAGGGTTAGGTTTGAATTGTTATAAAAAACTCCTTGTAGAGATGTTACATGTGTACACGTATCTGTGTGCCTTTTTAATTTTGGCAGTTTGAGGCAGTGACCAGCAATATGATGTGTGATAGCAAAATGTAGTTTTCCCAAATGATCGAAAACTGGTGTTTGCTCTGTGCCAGTGTAACTTCTACTGTAAACAGCGTATACCTGTACATGTACATGTCTATCCAGTGCTCATGTGTGCGGAAAGAATGAGCTTGGCAAGGTGGGACTCCACCCACAACCCACTACTGCTGTCACCGCCAGGCTCATCACGTCAGACTGAGCCACTCTTCTTCTAAATTCCAGACCCCTCTTTAGCCTCTCGTTTTCCAGAAAACCTTTACATAAGTGCAGAAACATAAAAAAAAACAAGCCAGCCTAAGCAGCGTCCTTTGATTCTTTTCTGCTGTCAATCAGTTTTTGTGTGGTAGACGGAATTCAGTACATTTTGGCATAGGCAACCCATATCAGATGGATCTTGTAATAAACTTTGATGAGGGATTTGTTTGGTTTTTTTATGCAGTGATCACCACAACCACATATTCAAGCTGTCAAGAGGGAAAGAGTGTCGTAAAGGCAGTGAGCCAGAAATTGAGAAATTTAAGCCCATGCTGACAAGAGGTAGGGTGATCTTGGTGCAAAAACGAAAAGTCTTGAAAATTCAAAATGTAGGTTAACCACTTGCTTCCAGGGTACCCCGTTTCAAGCACCATGGGTTTATACGCAGAGCCGGGGTGCCCGAAATAGGACAAAAGAGCTGGTCTGTGTAACAAAAGACCAGACAAGGAACAAAAGACCTGCTGCTGGGAACTGCCATCATTTTTCTGCTTGCATTTTTCGAAGGTAATCCGTCACTGTTTTTAAACAGTGTACCACTGTTTTAGGCATAGCGCTCCAGCGGATTAGCACCGCGGACAAAAGTGCTCCAAGGCCCCATTGATGAGCGACACAGCACCGCTTCATGCTAATCCATCCGCGTTTGAAAAGATGCCACCTCACAATTCTGGGCTCTCTTTACAGGGCAGCAGGCCTGGCTGAAATACTCAGGAGTCAATGAAGGTTACCCGTCAGCTTAGAGTAGCCACCAGACAGTAATTCGTGTGGGTGTAAACGTCCATTAAATGAAAGGATGAATTTTGAAGAATTTTGAAAACTGAAAATCTTAAAAATCTCCCGTATGAGTGCACTGCATTTTAAAAGCACCTGGCAGCAAGTGGTTAATGTAATAATAATATGGTAATAATTCCTTAAAATTAAACCTGAACTTCCTTTTTGTTCAATTTCTTTAGCCTTACTCTTTTTTCAAATTACCTATTCTGCAAATGTCCTCATCAATTCAGATTTCCTCCCTCTAGCTGTGTCTTTCTGTTTCCTTTTTATTTGAGCTCTTGTAATGGCCTGGTAGTTGCCTGTCCAACCAGTGGGCATAGGACCAGTAAAAATCGTGAAGTGTTCATGAATATTGGTGCTGTCCAGGGATGATTTTATTAAAAGCAAGTGATATATAAATGGAAATACTTTGTTCTCGTTGAGTCTGAAGAAGCAGGATTTTGTTCAGATGTCACGTGAAGAAGAGATCCTTGAGTGGGCTATTCCAGCATTTAGTTTCCCATTAAGGTCAAGAGGGAAATGTTTATTCCCATTCGACCTCTTGCTTGTGTTTCCTTGTTGAAAAGGTGACTCCTACTTTGATTCACTCCGACGGCGAAAGCCATTCAAGAAGACTGCAACAGGTGAATATACAGCAATCAGTGACAAGGCCACACCTGCTGATGTAGCTGGAGTCATCCGGAAGAACCCAAGCCATGCGGTAAGAATATGCAGCCAAACCTGACACTAATGAAATGCAGAGGATGCAGCATGCGCCCTCAAGAGATCATCACTATGTGTTTTTTAATCCTAAATGTCTTTTCTAAAACTCCTCCTCATCCTCATTTAACTTAGTTGACTTGATTTTTGTTCAGTTGTTTTGTGCGTTCAAAGGTATTTTCAAACTGATACAAAGAGGTTTTGCAGATAGGGTTATTAACCACTACCAGCCGGGGACTCCGAAATCGGAGCCGTATGGTTTATATATGTGGCCGGGGTCTCCGAACTCGGACAAAGGAAACGGGGCCCTG